ACGCTGCCCGGGCATCTCCTGATGCTGCCCGCATGGAGACCAGCTGGACCCAGGGGCTCCTCCAGGACACGCAGGCAGAGCTGGGGCGCTGCTGCCCCCTTCCTCCAGTGTCTAGGGCCACGGGGGATGTGGGAAGCTGCTCGCAGCCATCTTTCCTTCCGGGAAAAGGCGGTCCATGGACAGCAGGAGGATTGCCAAAGGAGATACAAGACCCTGGGGGTACATCTGACTTCCAATAAACAACAACTAGTTCTCAGCAAATAGACCACAAGTATGTTCTAGTATAAGCGTGTCCCAAGTCCTGCCTGGGACTGCCTGACTTATAGTCAAATTGGATTTCTTCCTTATCTGAAATTTCTGTTTTAACTGGGCACCCCTCGAGATGCATTTGCGAAATCTGGCAGCTCTGGTGTAAAGAACTGAGCTTCAAGTTGTGGCTGATTTCCTCCAGCCAGCCTCGCTGGAGCCATCTCCTCTCCAGCCCTGCTCTCTCCAAAGAGAGGAGCCAGGGAATTCCCTTAAAAAATCTACTTGGGAGTTTCTGTCTCTTGCAACCAAAGGAATCCTGGGTAACTCAGCAAATGACAGTGAACATGAGCACGAAACTCAGTAAGCCTGTCTGCAGCCGTCTCAGGCCAGCTGGGCAGGCCTGGGGCTGACCCCCAGGCCACAGAGGGCCTCCCAAGTCACCTCTGCTACCAGCAGCTCCTATGTTGATGCCACAGGTCTTCCTCTCCTGTCATCTGTCTCTGCTTTTCAAAAATTAGTTTCTTAAGGAGATGGTTTCAGTTGAGCAATAAGAAAACCAAAGTGCAGAGCTCTGGTTCAACTAGCTAGATTGTGACACCCTGGACTAATAGAACCCTGACTTGGGACAAAGACGGCGCTCCTGAGTGGCCCTCCGCGGGCCACCTTGTCTTGGGACAGGACACCATTTCTCCAGACCTTTCCCGAAGACCTGACAAAGTGCCTAGTGCTCTCCATGAGGCCCAGAGGTGTTAACTGTTTAAGCCCCTGTTACCGTGAAAGGCCTGCAGCCACATTGGAAGGGGTTCTGGAGACCCCTGACCCCCGTAGCCTGGAGCTCCTGGGGGTCCTGCCCTCCTCCACTGGGGGGTGGGGTGGGAATAGGGGATTAAGATGCTGCTCCCAGCTCTGAGTTGCTCCTGCCTCAAGTCTGAGTCCCAAGAGACGAGGGTTGCTCCCACCAGAGTCAGTGGGGCCACTGTGACTTGAGCCACGGGAGCCACACCTGTGGCTGAACTTGTGGAGTCTGGCCATGGCCGCCCGAGCCTGACACTAAGCCTGCATCAGATCCTCCCAGAATGCATTGCAGGCTCCCCCCAGGTGGATGGGATCCCTCACCGTGGGGACCCCAGTTTGGGGGGAGGCAGTGAGCCCACCTTGCCAGCAGAACTCTCAGCTCTGAGGAATGGCTCCATCCCTGGGGCCTCCCAGCCAGAAGTGCGGGGGGGGGGGCGGGGAGACAGCCCAGGATGTACTGCGGCCCCCAGCGCTTACTGAATGGGTCTTCCCTTCCTCCCCCTGATGGCTGGGGGGTGGTAGGCGCGCCCTCTCCATGCTTCCAAGCCCATAGCTCTGTGATCTCTGGAGCTCCTCACTTCTGGATGGACTCGTTGCTTTGAAAGATGCCCTTCTGACACTTCCCTGGGGTACTCCTACATGTCCCTTTTGGGGTGACCTCCTCACCTACTCTGCGGACTGAGGAGACAGCGGGGGCCTTTTCAGGTAGCTAGGGATCTAGGAAGTCGGCCAGGGGTAGCTGGATCACAGCCACCTGCCAGGTACACCGGCCCCTCCAGCCTAGCCCCGTCCAGCCCAGCCCGCCACGACCCCTCCGTGTTCCCTACCTTCCAAGGATACAGGCACTGACCCGGCCACCTCCGGCCACACCCCTCTCCCAAACACACTCCAGAGGCCCGCACTCTGGCAAAACCATTTTATTGTTTACAAAATAGATGTGACATTTGATATACAAAGAAAAAGCACTTTAAAAAACTGCTTTAAAAGGTTTAGAAAGGCATTTGTTCTCCGTGTGTCTCCTCACCCTGGGCATCTTTTAAGTTTCCATAAAAAACAGGGGGAGTTTTTCTTGCTGTGAAAAGCCTGGTACATTTTTGGCCCCTAAAGGCTCCTGTCCAGAGGCCTGGCTGCCAGCTGAGGGGCTTTGGGGAAGTGACTGGGTCCTGACCTAATCCATGGGTGAATCCATTGAACTCATCCAGTGAGGGCATTGTTGGGTTGAGCTAAGCACCAGTGGCTCAGGCCTGGATTCCTCACTACTCCGGAGACTGACATCTAAGATGGCGGTTCAAAGCCAGCCCGGTGGGAAAGTCCTTAAGACTTCAGTGAACCCAAAAGCTGGAAGTGGAGCTGTGGCTCATCAGTGAAAACTAAGGGATAGCACTTCTGCTCTGAACTCAAGCTCCAGGACCGACACAGACAGACACAATTTCAAAACAGAAATCAAGGCAAGGAGGGAAGATGGCAAGCAGAGGGGACAGAAGCAAGTCCCCAAGGGACCACTCTGAAATACAAATCCTGATTATTCTAGTTCTCCAGATGGAGGGTGGAGAGGGGGCACAAGGAAGCATTTTCTGCAGATAAGCATCAGGGGAAAACCAAGAAGCTGACACGACTTACTTTGCAGTTAGAAACATTTGCCACCGGATTGGAAACAGATTTCAATTGCAAGAACCCAGAAAGTCCCTCCATTCTTTTGTTCCCCACCCCAAATGGCAATGTTGTGTCTGGGGGGGATGCTGGCTGGCAAGGGGCCCCGAGGAGATGCTTCCGGGGTGCTACGTGCTCCTCCCAGTGGGACTGCTAAACTCACTGCAGCTCAAGGGCCACTGGCAGCCCCGCTCTGAACGTGATGGATCTGTGTTCTGGTCGCTGTTCGGGCTAGCTGTACAGATCCTGGCAGATCCTTAACCCGAGCCTCCGTTTCCAGATCAGCAGTAGCTGGGCCCCCCCCCCCCCTCACAGGGCTGGGGAAAGCACTGAGCAAGGCAGCGCACTGGACCCAGCGCTCAGTCTCCGCAGCTAAGCCTTGCTTAAGCCACAGCTGCCCGGCCCTTGTTCCACTGGCAGGGTCCGAGGTGGAAGCCAGTGGAAGAGAAGGCTACACTCCAGACCTCCCTGCAGAGGCCGGAACCTGTCCACCCACCCCTCCCAGCCTCTGTCCTCACGTCCCCACAGATGGGGATGTTACAAGGGGCGGCACTTTGCAGACTCCCTATCAGCGTAGTTGAGAGGATTGCAAGTAGCATTTTTAATAAAAAAAAATACAAAATTCACTCTTATGCTGGAACAATAAATATTCCTTAGTATCAGGGATTTGGCACAGTTGGACACCCGACTGTGGCTGGGTCGGGATGGGAAGTGCGGCCTTTTGCTCTAAGGAGCGCCCCCCACGGGTGGTCCCGCTCTGTCCTTCCTAACCGCAGGAAGACAGGGAAAGCTGACCAGGTCTCCTGCTGGCCTTCTCCAAGGTGGTTCTCTAGAAAGGAAACCTTTGGCAGTCTGGCGCCACCCCCCCCCTCGGGCGCACTCACCCTACGGTCCAAGGGCACATTCTGGAGTGAGTCACTCCTCTGGGCAAGAACAGGACATTCTAGGCACAGGCCGGGCAGTGATTCACTGTTATTCAGAGTGGTGACTAGGCTCACCCTCTCTCCTAGTGATACTGGAGCACGCAGAGGGCCCCCTCCAGTGTCGCAACTGCAGAGGGATGAGTCCCCAAAGAACAGAACGGGAGGGCTGGGGCCGAGTGCTGCCGCAATGATAAGAAATTCAGGGAAAGTCAGAGGGAAAATAAAAGGTCCTGGCCAGGACGGGACCTCGGGGTGGTGCGTGGGCGCCCCCGTGTGGCCAGAGGTGGAACTTCTTCTGCAGCCACGGTGTGGGCTGGGTGAAAGGACCTGGGGAGGCCACAGGGTGGCTCTCGGTACAGAAACACCGCCCAACTGGAGGGGTTGGAAGCCGCAGTCAGCAGAATCTTAACAAGAGTGCCTTACATGCGGGAACACGTCACCTGTGAGAAGAATTCTTCCCAATCTGTGGTGTGGGAGAAAGTGTAGACTCTGGAGACACAGGGTAAGATGGAGGGCGATCACAGCCCCTCCTAACTTTGCCAAGTCCTACAGAGTGGGAAGCTGACGTGAAAGTGGCATGCGTCCTGGGAGTTTCGCTTTTGTTGTTGTTGTTGTTGGCTTTCATGAAAAAGAATGTCAGAAAAAAGGAGATGTTGTCCCACAGCTGCTCCAGAACACAGAGCCCTGGCTGTGCAGCCTGGGGGTTGGGGGGGCCGGGCATCCCCGAGGTCTACGGCCCCAGGGTCTCGGGCAGGCCAGAGGTCGCCCGGCTGAGAGGTAGTGAGGTCTGGCTGCAGGCTGCCCTGGCCCGGGAAAGGGACTTGGAGCTGCTGCTGCCCCTGCAGGGATGCCTGGCTTCCTGGCTGGGCCAACGCCCACATGGCCCATCTGCCCCACCAGAGGGTAAGTCCTGGTAAAACCAGAGGCCACTGGGAGGGGAAACACCCACCAAGCCCTGCGCGCTAATGGCTTCTCAAATTAGAGACCCCTGCCACAGCTCTGGGCCCCAACGTATGTTTCACTGGAGGGAGGGGTCTGCTGGAGAGAGGAGCAGGCCCCCCGAGGAAGGTGGGGAGCTAGCCACCCCTCACCTCCCCAGGAGAGATGTTCGCAGTGGAGAAATCTCAGCGACCTCTAGGTCTCTGGGATTCTTGTGACATTCTAGCTATGGGTGCTAAGCCACATTTACTGTCCCTCCTCGCTCTATAAAGGAAGAGGCTGAGTGACAGTAAAGAAACAGGGGAGGGGGGCTGGGAAGGTGGCTCAGAGGTAGAGCGCTTGCCTTGCATGCTCGAGGCCCTGAGTTTGATTCCTCAGCACCACATAAGCAAAAAGAAAAAAGCCGGAAGTGGCGTTGTGGCTCAAGTGGTAGAGCGCTAGCCTTGAGCTGAAGAGCTGAGGGACAGCGCCCAGGCCCAGAGTCCAGGCCCCACGACTGACAGAAAAAGAAAAGAGGAACGGGAGGAACTGAGAACCCAGGGGACAAGACCCTCAACACAGCAAGTAGAAGCTGTGTGCAAGGACCAGGCAGTCAGCTAATCATGTAAAAGCTGGGCAGTAGGCCATAGGAGGCCATGGGGAGTCGGAGGCACCTGATTTTTACCAGGCCACAGGAAGGCAGGGGTCACCTGACACCAGGCCTCATGCCTTCTTGGGGACTCCAGCTTCTCCCATTTTACTCGGTGCTGACCTGTAACTGCTGGATTTTCCATGGTTGAAGTTTCTCCTCTGACCTGGGTGTGAGGCATCTCAAGAGCAGAGAAGCTACTTGTGCTTTGGCTCTGCATGTAGACCCCGCCACCACACAGAGCCGGCTCCCTCAGAAGCGGCGATGGAGCTCATCGTGCCCTGGACAGGGAGAGGCAGGATGCAAAGGAAGATGGCTGGTGGGAGCAAGTCTGGGTGGAGCAAAGGGCGGAGGCATCCCCATCACCCCAGAAAGGCCTCGTAGTCCATGTACCAAACCAGCTGGCCAGAACGAGGCAGCACACCCGAGATGGGCCACTTCTTTGGCTGGTGCCCCACACGGCTCACCAGCATGGTGATCTCCCGCTTCGTCCTGCCCATGACCAGGACGGCCACCTTCTTGGCACGGTTGATGAGGGGCAGGCTGAGGCTCATGCGCTGGTGTGGTCTGGAGGGGCTCTTGGTCAACACCACAAGCTGCTCGCCATCCAGGCCCGTGGGCGACTGTGGGAAGAGGGAGGCCGTGTGCCCATCTATGCCCATGCCCAGCAAGACCAGGTCGAAGCTGCTGTTGGCCACCAGGGCGGAGATCTCACTGGCGTAGGTCTGGGCACCCTGGTCCTCCTCGGCGCAGAGTCTCTGGTGCAGGTGCACGGGCATGGGGTGGATGTTGTAGTACGGGACCCGGATGTGCTGCAGCAGGTGCGCCTGCAGGCCCTGGAAGTTGGAGTCCGGATCTGAGAGAGGCACGCAGCGCTCATCCACCAGCCACAGGTGCGTGTTGGCCCAGGGGAAGCTGAAGTGTCCGGTGGCCAGCTGCTGGAACAGGGCGACGGGGCTGGAGCCGCCCGAGAGCGCCAGGTGGAACTTGCCAAAGCGCCGCACGGCCTGCTGGGCGGTGGCCTCAATATCACTGGCCAGCTTAGAGATGAGCTCCTCAGGCCAGGCGGAGATCAGCGGGCTTTCTCGGTACTGGGCCCTGAGGACCCGGAAGTCACTGGGCCTTGGGGAAGACGCCAGCCCGGGCACCAGCTGCTCCAGCGGCTGCTGGGTGAACGACAACTGGCCGCCGCCAAACTCGAAGTCCAGCAGGTGACCGTTCTCCGAGCCCCCGGGGTAGATGCGTGGGACTTCGTGGGCCACGCTGTCCAACAAGGGGGTCCAGAAGACCCAGGAGGCCAGCAAATTCTCCGTGGTGATGAAGGATTCCTTCCGACAGTGGAAGATCTGGGATAACAGGAAGGAGTAGGCGTCCCACTCCCGTACCGGGCGGAAGGCATAGTAATCGGACAAGGGCCGGCCGAAAAGGCGGAGGCCCGGCTGGGCCTCTACCTCCTCCCAGCTCTGAGAGGGCAGGGAGGGCCTGAACAGGTTCCGGCTGACCAGGATGGCGGGGTGGCCCAGCCCACCATGTCCGATGTAGAAGACGATCTGCTGGGGCAGACATCGGCTCTGCTCTGCGGCCCAGTGGCCCTCGCTCTGGGCACAATAGGCCCGGTTCTTGAACACGATGCGAACATAGCCCACTCTCTCATCCAAGGCCTTACCAGATGTCAGGATGAAAGGCACACCCTCCCAGCGCAGATTGTCCATGTGGACCAGGACCCCTGCAGGAAAGAGCAGGGCGGAGGGAGGGGGAGGGGAGAGTGGGAGGGGGAAGGAGGAGAGGATGAGCGCGGCTCCACACCCCCTCTGCCACGTCTCCCAACCTTCCTTTGCCTCCTCCTGCCAGGGAGGCGGGGGCTGTGACAGCACTGCTCTTGGGAAGAGGAGTGGGGGTCCTGATGCTTGGGGGCCAGGAGTCTCTGAGAAAAGGCACTTCCTGCCCGTGTCTGCAGAGCACTCGGGACGTCCCTCTAGCAAGGGCAGATGCAGACCAAGGCTGTGCAGAGCTGTGTGCGCTCATGTGTCCAGGCAGGGCTGCGTGTGCACGTGTGTCCAGGCAGGGATGCATGTGCACGTGTCCAGGAAGGGATGTGTGTGCACGTGTGTCCAGGCAGGGCTGCGTGTGCATGTGTCCAGGCAGGGCTGCGTGTGCATGTGTGTCCAGACAGGGATGCGTGTGCACGTGTGTCCAGACAGGGATGTGTGTGCACGTGTGTCCAGGCAGGGATGCATGTGCACGTGTCCAGGCAGGGCTGCGTGTGCGTGTGTGTCCAGGCAGGGATGTGTGTACACGTGTGTCCAGGCAGGGCTGCGTGTGCGTGTGTGTCCAGGCAGGGATGTGTGTGCACATGTGTCCAGGCAGGGATGTGTGTGCACATGTGTCCAGGCAGGGCTGCGTGTGCACGTGTGTCCAGGCAGGGATGTGTGTGCACGTGTGTCTAGGCCAGGGATGCGTGTGCACGTGTGTCCAGGCAGGGATGCGTGTGCACGTGTGTCTAGGCAGGGATGCGTGTGCACGTGTGTCTAGGCAGGGATGCCTGTGCACGTGTGTCCAGGCAGGGATGCGTGTGCACGTGTGTCCAGGCAAGGATGCGTGTGCACGTGTGTCCAGGCAGGGCTGCGTGTGCGTGTGTGTCCAGGCAGGGATGTGTGTGCACGTGTGTCCAGGTAGGGCTGCGTGTGCACGTGTGTCCAGGCAGGGATGTGTGTGCACGTGTGTCCAGGCAGGGATGTGTGTGCACGTGTGTCCAGGCAGGGCTGCGTGTGCACGTGTGTCCAGGCAGGGATGTGTGTGCACGTGTGTCCAGGC